AAAAATGATACTACAATAATTACATGCTATTTTTCTATTTAGGCATTAAAAGTTTTATAAAATAATATAAAACTCAATTTTTATGGGTTATATATTTTTTTTGCCAAATATGAACAAGAAGTATGTTATTGGCAGAGTGGCAGAATGGATTGGGTGCATGGTGACTCCTTGGTCAGGAGTTCAAGTCCCAGGGAGCACAAAAGAATTATTTTTTTTGGGTCAAGGCGCTGACTTTTGGCGACCAACTTATCTTTGGTCGCTAAAAGTTTACTTTTGGCTAATATGAATTGGACTTTCCGTGACCAAAAAAGTTGGTCGCGAATGGTCACTTTTAGCGACCAAAGGCTTTTTTGGTCGCAGAAAACTATCTGTGACGAGGCTTTAGCGACCAACTCGCGACCAACATATTTTGGTCGCGAAAAGGTTTTAGCGAGCAAATATGGTACTTTTCGCGACCAAAATGTTGGTCACGGAAAGTGTTTTTTCTTGTAGTGAATTTAGCCCTTGGTGAGCTATCCAACTTTGATGAGGAACGTGGGTCAAAATTCCAATATATTTGGAGAAATCAAGGATTTACGGTGGTGGATGGGTGTTTGTAGAGAGAATTGAGAGGAAAATATGTTTTTGGAGAGAGAGAGAGAGAAAGAGAGACATAAGAGGAAATAAGATACACTCAGCCTAAGGAGAAGAAAAATAAATAAAATTCAAACTCAACCTTTCCCACACGTGTACACCTTTCGTCGCATGTGCGGAGCATGCCCTGTTACACGTGCGACCTCCTACACATGTGGCTCTAGCCCCCATACATGCAGTTTTGCTCCAGCAACAAATTTTGCAAGATCAAGAAGGTGCTACCAACCGCGACTTCGATTATGCCACCGAAATAAGAAACCCAACTCCGGAAACAAAAATTGAGACACAATTTTGAGGAAGACTTTAAAAGTGATGAACTAAACGGCCGACGAGGCCTCGAAATAGTTTTCTAATATCCCACACAAGAAAATAAACATGATTAGAGGAGAATAAAACAATCCACGTACCCGGATACCAAGCCTGATTTCTATAGAAAGGCTTCTACATTTATACTTTTCATCCTTATGCCCTATACTAGAATATTAAAGACGTTATACACTAAATAGGAATTTACACTAATTTGATCACAATCGTCAAAACGCAACCTGTCATACCAGGGGTCTGAAATTGTATGGACGCATCCATACATGTGGGTTAAAATATTCGATGTCAACTCAAGGTTGTGGCACATCCTCAACACCTAAAATTTATTAATAACGTAGGGTGAACATATAGTCTAGTAAAGAATTCTTTATGCCTACTAACATGTATCCACACAAGAATATGATCATGATGCTATACATATATAGGATGCTCAAATTCATTTAATAAGAATGTTTACTTTCCAAATATCAAAAATTCTCAAAGTGTTTAGTCAGAAACCTCAATTCTCAATTCATTACATTGCATTTCAGTGAATCCTCTGAAGGGACATGTATATGTCAGTGGCCATCACTAAGTACCATCTACACACCCATAGGACAAATAGGCACCTAATCTACGTTGGTTTTCAGTCTATCATCGTGGATTCTCTTGCCAACTTAATCTCATGCCTCTATACATTATTTGGATTCACCATAACCATTCAATTTAAAATAATGATTTTCAAACCCCAATGCAATACATGCAATTCTCATTTCCATCTAAGTGTGTTCAACAACACCTCTGTTCATCAACCGATTTTCATCTCATGAATTCAAGAATTCAATATACATCACGTAAGTTTCAATTCATCCTATGATGATGATTTTTACAACGATGTCATTATCTACTAATGGCTAACAATCAATCTTTACGATATCCAATAATTCCACAATTTAAAGGTATTCAACTTCAATTTCAAGGAAAGACAACATTTCCAATATTTGAACAATTTCACAAATTAAGGTTTCAAGAAAATTAAGAATTTTTTTTCAATTAAAGCATCCTCATGCTATTCAACATTTGAAAAATAGGTTTTTATAGGAAGAATATAGAGAAATACCCAATAAATTCCAAACCCTAATTCTATACAATGCATTTTTCCAAAATATCTACCAATTTCTCAGTATGGTAGATATAAACCCATATTAAATAGATAAAAGAATATCCTACCTCAAAAGGAGAAAAGGAGAAATAAAAAATAAAAAAACAAAAATTCAAATGGTGGCAAAATAAAGATCGGCTCTAATGAAAGTGAAGCCCTTAACGTGCTCTGTGATATTAATACTTGAGTTTTTTATCAACTGAATCTCTTAAGGCACCTAATTGAAAGATTTATGGTGAGTTATGGTAGAGAGAAAAATTGAGGAAAAGAGAGAGAAAAAGAAAGAGTAAATGAGAAGACAAAGCAAAGAAAGTTGTAGAAGTAGATCCAATCAGACTAGCGGTCGATCACCGTGAAAGAGAGATTGATCATTCCCAAATTTCAAAAGTTGCAATTGTTCTTTTGTCCATCACTAGTCTCTACTTAAGGAGTGATTGTTTGAGCGATCGATCACTCGTCGATCGCAATCTACTACTGAACAAACTTGAAAATGACCAGTTGAAACAATCGCTAGGCAATCAATCGCATATCAATCGCTAGCTCTCGAAAATCAATCAAAACAAATGTAAGTATGGCGATCGATCGCTCCAATTGTAATCGATCGCTTTGCCCAAAAAAATTGGTTTCAAATTTCCTAATAAATGCCTTTTTTTTTTTTTCTTGTTATGCAAGGCATCCTGGGTCAGCTTTCGTGTACCAAGCCAAGTCTCCTATTCAATGCCACTAACACTAATATCAACTTTTCAACTCTCAAACATGATTTATTGTATCAATAACACCAAGCATGTATGATAACGATACATATGAGTGAATCAACATACAAGAATAGAGGGGTTGTGACACATCAAACAAATATGTGTAATTGGTTTTGAGGCAGGTCCCAAAGTGTTCCAAATATGAAGGAAGATACGTGGATAAATAGGTGGATAGATAGCTGACACTTAGACCGATAAGTGACATGAACAAATAGACAAATAGGTAGGGGTAATATGGTCTTTTCAAATTATTTAATTGTTTTTTCCTTACAAAAATACTAGATCTTGGATCTATTGTCCCAAAAAAATTTAAATTAGACTTTGCGGAAAAAAAAAAAATCAACTTTTGCTAGAGAAAACCAAAAAATACCAAATTTTTCGTCATCAGCTAAAAAAATTAAATGTCACATCAATTTTTTTTTTTATTCACAGAAAATAATTTTTTTAGTAACTTTTCAAACACATTTAAGTTCTTTTACTTCTTAAAAACATAAAAATGTATGGAAAAAAAAACAACTTAAACAGAGAGAAAAGTGGATATGGTAATTTGGAGAAAATGAATAGAGCTGAGGGGTCATGCTATGATAGCAAGTTATGACATTTGTAGGATTGATTGTCACAAATATCATAATTAGATCTTTTTATTCATAATTTAAATATATAAAAAATGAGTTATAACAAAAAAATCACATAAAATACAATTAAAGACCTTTTCAATCAGAACTAAAATAATGCCATAATCATTATGTCAATAAGTCATAATTAACTCAATAACATAATAAATTATAATCAAATATCACAAAAGTAGTAACTAAGACATATACTACATATCCAAAAAGGAATATGTATCATAGAATTTTCCTAACTTTTAATTTTTAATCATGATAGCAATTAGCAGCAACACGAGGGTCACGTGGAAATTATAATATCACCTACACCATAAAGAGACAGAATCAAGGGGGCCATGAGGGAAAAAGTATAAAGATAATTCTTTACAAGAAACTCTCTTCTTTGAATTATTATCTATGTCGTTACATTTTACTTCTAATTTAAGAAATGTTATATATTGCTGGCTTTTTGTCCATATTTTGTTTTACAGCCTATAATGAATATTAATGGTTGATTATCGTAACGAATTAATTAATATAATTAATATCTTATCACATATCTTGGTGATATAAAAATATGAAGAAAAAAAAAAAAAAAGACAATTTATAGGGCGTGTTTGGTAATATTTATAACAATTGTATGATTATATATACAGAATTTTTGAAAACTTTGATCAAAAACTCCTTTAATTTCTGTTCTTATTTTTAAAGAGTTGTAAATAGTTGACAACCACAAAAAGTTAATTTCACTTGTTTACTTATTTATTCTATTTTTTTCCTATTTTTTTCCCACCTTTTTCAACCACTCCCATTGCACATCACTACCACCGACCACCATGGCCAATATTCTCCTTCCCCAACCACCTCCCTTGGCCGCAAGCCACACCTTCTACCGTTGCGATAACCACATTTGCGAACTGATCACTATCTGACCGTCAACAACCACTTTTCGCCACAACTTTCCGCTGTAGACAGCCACCTCTTATTACCGCCAACCACTCCAGCCACCACCAACTACCTCTCATTGATAGCAAACCACCTTCAGTCACCACCTCTCACGTCCAGCAACAATCTCCGACCATCATCTCCAATCGTCAACAATTACCTCTTTCACTTGTTTTCAAAATAAATTTTAAAATACTCGTTTACCAAGCATGATTTATGAAATCAATAATATATTAGTGATATGACACCAATTATATTATTGAAGTGAAATATGTTTTAATGTATGAAATTTCATCATTGTATGACACATTGGCAGTAAAAAAAAAGAATTTGTATGCCATTTTTCTTCCAAAAGACTGAAATTCTCCATGGTGTCAACTTCCTAAACTCTAAAAATTTAATATTTTATTTGGTTAATTGGTGAAAAGTCCACACTTACGAGGACATATAATATTTGGTCTAAGGTTTAATCTCTTTCGTTGATAAGGACATGCGTTGAAAGTCGTCGTTGCCATAAAATTAGCCAAAAAAGTCATTGGGGACTGAGGATGGCAGCCGGTGGCAATGAGGTGAATAAATAAATGGCATTAAAAGTAGACATCTAACCTGAGTACCTTATTTTATTTCTAGATCCACTGGGGTCTTTTTTTCAAGTAAGCTAGTGATTGCTTTGTCATAGAAAAATAACAAACATTACATCCTTAAAAAATCGTGTTCATATAAAAATAGTTGTACCCATAGACAAGACCATGTCTCATATTAGAGTTTTGGCAGCATCAAAGTGACCATACTTTTGGGTTTTGCCACACCTATTTGGGTAGATAAAAGATTGATATATCATAGAGGTTGATTAGAAATCCATCTTTCAAACATAGTATAACATTCAATAGGCTTTTGCTCCGAAGCTGTATGTCCTCCTCCCTATTAACACACAAAAAAGAGATGTTAATTTCACTTTCTTCTATCGTTCTAACTATTGTCATTTTTATTTTTTAATTTTAATTTAAAATTATTAATTTTATCTATTTAGTCTATAAAGTGTTTTATTTATTTATTGTTATTTCAATTTCATATGGTCCACGAGATAAAATGTCCAAATTAATAGTGGTGGAAATCTAACCTGATACCCCCATACAAAAGGTAGTTTTATAATCTGCAAAATCTAAATCTAAATCATATAATTAACCACTTGTTTTACATGTACCTTATTATAAATTGGTACAATTTTATCACAAAATTTCGTAATATCAATTACAAAATGCATAATCTCACTACAAATTGGAGTAACAAAAAATGTCATAACCAAATCACAAACTTTTGTTACATGAATCGCAAAATTTTGTACATTTTGTTACGCTAATTTGTGACGAAATTACGTATTTTATATTTGATGTCACGAATTTTCATAGTAAAATTACATCAATTTGTGGGACGGTGCATATGATATGCACCTTAAAAGTGCACACCATAGGCTTTCCCATAACCCAATACCCATATTCTGCCTCACCCCTTATTTCAAAATAGTAACCAAGAAAAATAAGTGTTGCTTTGTATGGTTTAAATTGTTTAAATTTTGAAATTATATTTTTACCCATCAAGTTAACCTTATCTGTTACTAATTTATTTTTCACTTGGCTATGGTTTAAAAGCCAACTAATTGGTTAAAAAAAATTATTTTTCTAAAAAGCCATATTGCACCTGACTAATTCATGTTTTGCCAAAAAATGAACTTTAACTACTCAAAAGTCAGTAGAAAAATCATTAAAATTAAGAATGTGCTAAATAAATTAGCTTTTTTAGCATTAAGTTTTTGTAGACTTACTTTTAGTAAAAAAAAACTTTCTTTTTTTTCTATAAACAATCATCTCCAATTAGATCACATTACCTCACATTAGACACTCTAAGAAGTAATTAGACGAAATTGATAGAAATAGAATAAAAAATGATAATTTAAGAGATAAAAATAAAAATGACCTAATAAAAAATACAAAGAAGGTAAACAAACAAACAAACAAACAAACAAACAAAAAAAGAGCATACTTCACGTTTGGTACTATTTTCATTTTTTTCTTCTAAAATTAAAAAGAAAAAAAAAATTGATGCAGAAAACTTTTTGGCTAATTGTTTTTTTTTTCTTGAAAATATTTTTGAGAACATCTTTTTTTTTTATAGAAATACTTCTAAATTATTTTCTCAATTTTTAAGAACTGTGTTTTACACAAAAATGAAAGGGATAAATTTTTTCAATTTTGTTATTACTTTTATTTTCAAAAACATGAACAACAAAAATAAAAAATTTCAAAACGATACCAAACACATTTGAAAAATATGGAAAACAAGTGAAGAGAAATTTCATACCTTGACGGTAGCAAAGGTCATCCAATTTGAGTAAGTCCTTGTATAACTACACATTGGCAATGAAAAATAAACAAATAAATAAAATAACCTTTCTAATAAGCTTTAAAATGAATATCAAAAGTTGAACCTACCCGGCAACTTGGCCTTGGACCCACCATGAACGCCACTCATCAACAATGGAATAATTGAGAGCTCTAATCCATGCTTGAGTTCCCAAGAATGGAACCATCATGTCATGATCACCACTGGTTCAACCATCATTACACAACCAACTTTCTTAATTATTATTATGGGAAATTACAATTTTAATTTATTGATTTAAATTTCATTTTTATTTTTTTATTTAAATTAAATAATCTAGACTCTACACTTTAATTTTAGTTTTAATTTGGTTATTTCGTTCCAATTGAAAGGTAAAATTATTAACTTTGAGACACTTACAAAAATTTAGACAGAAGAATTAAATTTAGACATGACTTAAAATGTATTGACTAAATTGTTCAAATTTAAACAATAAGGATCAAAATAAAAACTTGAATCAAATTATATAACTGAAAAGTATTAATTACATTTTTTTGGAATCAAATTATCTCTAGTTGAACAAAAAATTGGTTATGTCCAGTTACCTTAGGTCCTTTAATGATCCAAATAATTCATTAGGTAGGTCTCTCAATATATAGATTATTCATGAGAAAAACTAAGTTAATCTAATAATTATTATATAATGTCATCATATTTACCTTCAGAAAAATAACCACAGGTATTGATTTCAAGCAAGTGGTATGTTCTTTTAATGATAAATCTTTGTTGTTCAAATATTGTTTTTTTTTAAGATAAATATAATAAAATTTTATAATTACAATTTATTAGATCAATCTTCTTTATTGTTGGTAGAAGATCAACACACTAAGACTTCCCAAAAATAAGTAATTTAAATCATCAAAATAAAATATGTTGTAACGCTCACAACCAAGTAGACAGAAAATTAAAAAGTGGAAATGCTGCTGCGCAGCTGTTGTGTGGCGAATTGAGCCCATTTCGAGGTTCATTTTAAACCCTAGATTAAGATATTGGGACTTCCCTGCTTATAGATCTGGGAATAAGAAGAGTGGGAAAGGCAAGAGAACGAGGGAATGAGTGGAAAAGTCAAGAAGAGAGTGGGTGAGGTGAGGGATGCATATAAGATTGGAATACTGGACATAATTTATTTCTTTTTTGTTATTATTACCTTATCAGAAAATTTCAATTTTATTTCGATTTTTAACCTCCCAAACCTAACCCTAATTCTATACCACCCACTGCTACCATCTCTGGTTACGACCTCCAACCCCTTCCCACCCTTCCTCACTCCTCCTTTCCACCTTTAGTCTCTTTCCATCCATGCCACCCCTAGCTCCATTTCCACCTCTCCCAACCCTTTCCTTCCCTACCTTTCCCCGCCCCTTCCCAACTCCTCTTTATCTTCTTCTTCCTCTCCTAATGATCCTTATCCCCTTCTCACTTCTCCACAACCCCCTTTGATAGAGAAAGAGGAATCGTGCATGCATCACAGAGAGAGAGAGAGAGAGAGAGAGAGAGAGAGAGAGAGACTTATAGAAATGAGAGGGGAAGAAAAGGAGATTGGGTGGTGCTAAGAGATGATGAACATGAACAGGAGAGTGTTGAATGGGAGGAGTAGAAAGAAAGTGCGGATGGAGATGATGATGGGAAGGGGGACAAGAATGCAAGAATGGTGTTGAGAACTGCTAGGTTGGATGGAGATGGGTTAATAGGTGGCGGGAATATAGAGGATGGACTGTAGAAATTGAAGGTAGAGGCTAAGGATTTGGGTTTCAAATGATAAGAATGATAGTAGAATTGGGATTTAAGGTTGGTGTTCAAAGTAGGACTAGCAGGGATGGTGGGGGCGGGTTGAGGAGTGGCAAAAATGTGGGAGAAGAACTGCCAAAAGTGAAAGTAGGTGCTAGGATTAGGATTTCAAACGTTAAAGATGATGCTAGAATTAGGATTAAGGTCAGTGTTCAAAGTAAAAGAGAAAATTTTTAAATTTTGAGGTGAGGGTTCAAAGAAGATAAGGGTCCAACAAAGATTGGTGAATGCTATTAGCAACACTCTTTTTAAATGAGTATAATGAGGCAAAATAGTGTGTAAATGGAAGCATCCATATTTTTTGGACTTAAAAGCTTGGTTTAATGCAAGAAACATGATCTCACCTGTATATAAGGGACCTGTAGCCTTTAGTGCTGAGATTTACATGATATTGGAAACTGTCCCAAATTGTGCGAGTGTAAGATAATTTGTTGCATCTCATCCATCCTTTTATGCTTCCCTATTTTAAGAAGTACAATTCATTTTCTTATTATTTTTCTTATAAATAGTTTTAAGGATAAATTATACAAATAGTCCTTGTAATTTACACAATGTGTCAATATGGTCCCTGTTATTTCAATTTGTCCGATTTTGCCCCTTAATTTAACGGATTGTATCAATTTAATCCAATAAATAACAGTTGTTAAGTTTGGTGGTTGGAAAGTCAAACTATGTATCAATTTGGTCCATGTACTTTACACAATGTGTCAATCTGGTCCCTGTCAAAATCAAGCAAATTAAAACAATAGAGACCAAATTAACACATTATGTAGATTTTCCGTCCACTAAACTTAACAACTGTTATTTATTGGACTAAAATGATACAACCTATTAAGTTAAGGGACAAAATTGAGCAAATTGAAACAACATAGACCAAATTAACACATCGTGTAAACTACAGAAATCATTTGTATAATTTTACCCTAGTTTTAAATATAGACGTATGTATGTTTCCTTCCCCTTCCCTGTTATCAGTACATCTCAACAAATCAGTGAACAAAAAAAAAAAATGCAAATTACACTTTGCCTATATTATTTTAACCCCTCAACTAAAAATTGTAACAGTTAATCCTGCTCATTTATTATTATTTTTTTTTAATTTGGACCTTAATGACGAAAGTCCACTTTCATCTATTGGGATAAATTACACTTTACTCTCTTAAACTATCACAAACTATCACTTTACCTCCCTCAACCAAAAAAAATACTACACTTAGTTTGGTTTTTCAACTCAACAACAGTTTTTGAGTTATTTTGTTTTCAATAAAACTTTTTCGTATTTTAATCAAAAACAAATTTCTTAAATTTTTATATGCGTTTAATTTAAATACACCTAAAAAGTAAAATATTTGTGAAGAAAAATCTTTAAAAAAAAGTTCACAAAAGATGAAAAACTAAAAGATAAAAAGATTATAAAAAAAAATTTAAAAAAAAATTAAAACTGGCATACTTTTGTATTTCTTTTATCTTTAGTGAACTTTTTGTTAGATTTATTCATAAATATTTTATTTTTTAAATGCATCTAAATTAGAGGTACATAAAAATATTATCATCTATTTAAGAAACATGTCCTTAAAAGAATATTTACATGATACAAATTTATAATTCAAGGTGGAAAAATGTAGCATTTTTTAGTTGAGGGGTAAAATGAAGTGATACTGGGTGACAGTTCAAGAAGGTAAACTGCAAATTATCCAATAGCTAAAGAGGCATTTTTGTCAAAAATGTCCAAATTGACAAAACCTAATAGATGAGGGAGTTAAATTGTTACAATTTTTAATTTAAAGAATAAAGTGACATGGGACAATATTTGAGGGGGCTAAAGTGTGATTTACCCAATAAAAAATGCATGTGCACTAGCCAATTCAAAATATGTACCAGTTATGACCGATATCATTGGTTCACAATGATACGACTAGTAGGCTACTATAGAACACTCCCTTCAACTATGGCTTGTTTTTTGTTATCACATCTCTGAATTTCTAATATGCTTCGCTCGATCCACTCAATACTATTACATTGTAACTAATAAGAATTCTTCTTTCAATACAGCTATTTAAAAATTTTCTTTTAAACAAATAATATCAAATGTACCTTTCGGATATGGAGCGCTTCTCGAACTCTATCATTGTTATTCCAAATATAGGACAGTTTGTATGCATTGATCTACAATCAAAGATGTCAATCAAATAGTCATAAGATAATCTCCTTATCAAACCATACTTATGGGATCATTGGGATAAAATCAGTGCAATTTAAAATGCTATATTAGAGCATCAACAATGTTGAATGTCATTGTCAAATTTTAGCTATGCCATAATACAAAAATGTAAAAGTTTGGCAACCTTGCTCCAAACATGTGGCATGGTGAAAGGTTTCCGTTGAGGTTTGCCCTTCTGCTCTTCACCTACTTTATGGAATACTTGTCAAGGATAGCAATGCTAAAATTTAGCTACTTCAATGATAGCTTCATTAAAGCACCCGACTGCTATAATATAGGTATGGTAACTCAACTCCCCATTGGAGTTACTCTTACAATTGGCAGATACAACATTAATATTTTAAGCTTCAAAAAGATTTTGATAGACTGAACTTTAGCGCACTAGACCATGCCCTGGACAAAAGCCATTTTTGCGGTTCTTCAATTTGGCCGGATTAATTACATGGGAATCCCTCATTAATTAAGTCATTCTCCTTTATTGTAAAATGTGTAAAATTGATAACTCATCTTCTAATACTTGAAAAGTCAAAACACAAAATATAATATTTCAGTCAATTCAGTCGGTATTGGTATAAAATTTTGAATCCAGAATAGACCATAGCTTATGAAACCTTATTAAAAATCAAAATTTAATCCATTTGTTTTTCTTAATGCCATAGCATATTACCACTAATTTTTCATTTTTTAAAACAATATACCATGCTAAGTCTAAATTGGGAGCAAATTATTGGAAAAGTTAGGAGGGCTTACACGACTAGAATCACAAGGCGATGATTGACGAACAACAAGCTCTATGTTTTTCTCATCGACATATCTTCTTTCACTAAACAATTCCTGTGGTTTTGGAGAAGCAAAACCACATGATGGTTCCAAAATTTGAGATTTTAGAACTCCATCAATACACTACAAAAACAAACAAAGAAGTTTTATCAACTTAGTATCCAAGAAAAGGCACACAATAAGGTAATGGAAAGGTTTGTAGAATAGAATATAATATATTGACCTGAGAGTAAGCCTGATGATCCTGCAAACACCGTGTATTGTTGGGATCTATATTCGAATACTCTCCTTGACAGCTTCTTTGCAATGACTAGAAAAATAGAATTCACATATGGTCTCCGTCCTAAGAAGTACGGACATATATACAGACATGGAGACTCGATATAGTGATTTCAAAAAGAATAAATTACACTAATCTCCCTTGAGTTTTAGAGAAAATAGAACAAGTCTTACAATTTTGACATAATTATATAGACCTCCCTTTTAGTAATGTTAAAGAGTTCAAAACTAATGCAGATGGTATAAAAACATAATGATAGGTAAAATATATATTTCAATATGAAAAAGATGATAATATCATTTTTTTTTTTCATTCATATAGCTAATCTGATGAAAAGGGGGCCAAGCGTTATATGAATTACAATCTTAAGGGAATTCAATGTAATTATGTCAAATTTGTAACCTTAAATGATTGGCCTAGTGGTCAATCTTGGGGCTTGGGGTTTGGGGGTATGCTCCCTCCAAAGTTTTAGGTTCAAAACCTCTTAGGTACAAATAATTTATTGGAGGAGCCAACCTATACGAGGCTTTACCTTGACTTTAATTGGGACCACCACGGATGGACGGTCGGATTGGTCTTATGAATTAGACAGTCATTTGGGCCAAATACCAAGTTATCAGAAATTATGTCAAATTTATAGGATTTATTGTATTTTTTTTTATTTTTTTTTTCCCCAATCTCAAGGGAGATTAGTGTAATTTAACTTGTCAAAAAAATAAGGACTCAAACACAAGAGGAACACGACAACAAAAGAATATTATATATCTATAAAATTAATATCATCCACAAATAATTAAAATTAACAAAAATTAATGCCAATTTGATATTTAAAAATAAATCTCACTCTTATGTTATCTCTTATCATTTATGTCTTCTTTTGTAGATGGACAATTAATTATTTAAATCTAAGTAAAAAGTAATAACCATTCAAAATCTAACCTCCATCAAATGCATTAACAAAAAAGAAAATTGGATTTAATTGGTGTATCCCCAACATGTTTGCTCGAAAACAAATTAATTAAATAACAGGACACCTATTGGCATGTCCCATATTTATCTCATTGTCTGACACCGCTACGGCATATATTTCACAGCGTTGGTATTTCATGATCTCTTTCATTACCTTTTCCATTAGGCACTCAATCTGTTTAGTCTATTATCTTTATCTATGAAACAACGTCACATATGAGGAGGAATATTAGTTTGATCAACATTTTATTTAAAAATATTTGGGACAATTGTGATTTGTGATAATTGCTGATGAAATAACATTAAATGAAGATATTTGAGTAGATTCTAAAAGAGAGATTGAATTTATTTCGAAGTATTAAAGCACCTCGTAGAGTTCGTCTGAAATAAGTCCCATTCCATGAGCAAATGGGATTGCATAATTGCTGTCATCAGGAGTTGTAACTGGGTTGCCAAGTAGGTATCCCTAAACCATTTCAGAATGAGTAAAATTATTCATAATTTATGCAAATAAATAAATAAATAAATAACAAGAATTATGTGTCAATATCATTTTTGTAAACAAATTTATCTTCATAAATGTATCATTATATATGAAAATTATATATATGTATTTTTTTTAATTACACTAGTAATCCTTATGTCAACCCTTGTATCATTTTGACACTTACACTTTCAATTGGTTCAATTTTGATATTCAATTTTAGATTTTGTATCAATTTGGTTCAATTTACAATGTCATTATGATTTTTTACGAAAATTATCACTGAATTAGTTGATGTTTACTCTTTGAATTGATCAAATTTACAATCATAAAAGCAAGAGACATTCCACTCGTGTACACATTTTTCATAAAATAATGCGAATAGTTAAAATCAGTTAAACCAAATTGAGGTAAAATTCAGAATCAAAATCAAACTAATTAAAATTATAAAACCAAATAGAAACTACTAACATAATTTGCCCCACTCCTTTAGAATCACAACAAAACACTTTGTAACTTTGTGAAGCATTAAAATTTAATTCTCATGCTTCTATCAACCCAAACGATACTATCCAGCTCACCCAAAAAAAAAAGAAAAAAAAATAAAAAAATAAAAAAAATCCAAAAGATACAATCTAAAAGTGGCCTAGTTATTGTAACAGAAAAAAGATACAAAGAGAAAGAGGTACAAACCTTGAGATTGATAAGTGGTTTAATGCCTGCTTCGTTTCCTGCATTGCAACACAGTACACTTGATCAATCCCTTCTTCAAAGAAAAATGATTGAGACCTCTAAATTGTGAGCTCTAAAAGAGCTCTAATTTGTGGGTTCCACTGTGTGATTTGATGTTTTGGCCTTTGTTTTTATTTTTATTTTTTTTTTTAGGGTTGCCACGTCACTAGTGCTCTTATTAGAGCTATATTATTAGAGCTCTTAATCACCATTGTTCTTCAAATTACTGCCGAGTCTTTTTTTTTTCATTTTTTTTCCTTTTTCAGAAATTACAAAAAAAATAAACGAATAAAAAACTTCCAAAGTTTGACCTCAATAATAAATTAAACCAAAACTTTTTAATTATTTAAATCCTAAATTTTTTAAATAGTATTAATTTGTTACAAAGTTTAATTTTTACCAGTTTTAACATAAATTTATATTGGAATCACGTACGTACGAGTGTCGAATCAGGGCCAGTCCTATGTTTTTTGGGGGGCCAAGGCTGGAGTCCAGATCCCCTCCTTGAGCCCCCTCCTTCATTCCCTCCTTGCAGGGGCCTTCGGGTCCACTTTGAAGTCCAGTTTTGATAATCTGAACCGTTCATATTTTTATATTTATTCAGTATATTATACCTGTAAAAAATCAAATTGCTCGGATATCAGAAAGTATGCGTTCAGAAAATTGGGACTACAAACTATTTTTTAATAAATAGTTTTCCGAACACATACTTTATGATGTTCGATTAACTTGATTTTTTACAGGTATGATATACTGAATAAATCTAAAAATATGAACGGTTCGGATTATCAAAATTAGGCCTCAAAGTGGGCCCGAAGGCCCTGCAAGGAGGGAATGAAGGACCGAAATGAAGGAGAGGATCCCAATTCCCAAGGCTGACGGTATATATGACCTACGGTTTACCCCTTAATCGATGGACTTTCAGAACCAAGAGTCAGATTGTATCTATGGGAGAAGAGAATACACGGTGGAACCTGTTAAGTGGTAAAAAGATTTCTTATTTGCAAGTTTTATCCAATATATTTTATAATTTAAATTTGAACCCCGAAATTTGTTTTGGCCTTTAGTCATCTGTGTTGTGAAGTAAAAGAATATTGGATTGGGCCTTCAGTTTTGGACTATTAATATTACATTGACTAAAACTATTTTGAGGTCCTTAAATTTTAATAAAATTAAGGGGCTCAAAGCGGCAGCCTTGCTTGCCTTGGACCAGAGCAAGCCTGTGTCTAGTGCAGATATTTGTCTAAAGTGTCTAATTTATCTAATCCTATGTCTAAGGAGATATAAGACACTACAAAATATTCATGCTTTTCAATGTACTTTTTTGTATTTTTTAAAGTGAAATAACGTTTAAAGATATCATACATCATTTCATATATAATATGAGAATTTTATTTGTATAATTAACTTGAATTACTTAGATACGCTTTTTAGTTTTCTGACTACACATATCAGTGTAAACGTTAGCGGCAAATTGTAGAGTTATACCAATAGAATTTTCGGAAATTTTCTCTTACCCATCATTTACTTTCTTACCATTTGATATTACTTGAACTATAATTGGAATAGTAATGCCTGTGTATGACTCTCCACCCACGTAAACTGGATTTGAGAGGAAGTTTGGATGATCAATCAACCACTGCAAAAAGTTTTCCAAACAATAAGATTGTGTGTATGTATAGTTTTTTTAAATTTTGAAATTATGTACAACTGGTTTATGCAATGGACTGTTCTTCATTTACTCTCCAAAAGCCACTCTAAAGCATTGTTTCATATTGCTTTTATTGGATAGTTTAAAAAGTTACCTTCTTGAGAAATTCATAGGCTTGGTCACATGATTGCAAATCAGAAGATTGAGAAGCAAGTGATGTCATTCCGTAGGAGAATCCAGTACCAACAGGTAAGTCTATAAAGATTACGCTCGCCACCTGATATTTATCATTGCACCATGATCAAATTAATGTTATTGTATGTGTTCATGCACATAATCATTGGATGAAACACTTCTCTCTCATCAATTGGACTTTTAGTCCAAATTTTTTGTGAGAGGACAAGTGGATCTCATTGTGGGATTCATTTTTCCTCTCACAAATTCATCTCCCATCTATCTCATTTGGAAATGAAATGGACTGGACATTGTTGTTGAGTCCGATCAGGAGTCATTCTTTAAGTGAGCCCCTGTGTGTAGATCATTTATAAAAATTAAAATAAAATTTATCATAAAATCACAGTTACGTTATATCTTCATATTTATTTATTTTTTTAAATACCAAACATGCTTTTAAAAATAGGCTATCTATTTTTTTGAAGATAAATATGTTGAAATATGTTATTATTATTACTAAATCATTTTTTTTTTTTTTTTTTTTTTTGTTTTTTTAGACAAACTATGGTTGATGTTAGGGTAACAAATAATATTTTAATGCATTAGATAGTATATATAGTTGCTCTTTACAGCGTATAAAACTAGTATGGCAATAATAGCCTCACGCTTCGTGTATTCTATCTACCTTCGTCCATGAATTTGGATTCAAGACTTGTAAGAGGAGCTAATTTAAGCCCACTAAATTATTTAGGCCCAATAGCCCAAGATTAGTGAGCCCAAATTTATCGCAAGTCCAAGATTGGTGGGCTTGGATTTATCGCCGTCATACGGGCTGAATGGCTCTAAGCCTCGAAAGGGTTCGGATCCACGAACCTAGAGACTTACTCGGGCCCGGACTCAAAAGGATATTAAGAAAACCTAGAGATCCGAGGCACTCTAAGCCTCGAAAGGGTCCGGATCCACGAACCTAAAAACTTACTTGGACCCGGACTCGAAAAGGTATTGAGCAAGCCTAGAGATCCGAGGCACTCGGATTCGAAAGGGTTCGGATCCACGAACCTAGAGGTCCGAAATACTTGGCTTCGAACGGATTCGGACGCAATCTAGAAGTCGCTCCGTTAATGAGTCCCAGAACACTTGCGGGCTCGGAGCTTTCCGGGATCTACGCACCAGAACCATGGGCGTAATGGAGTTCGAACAAAGGACCCGATCCCGAGGACGGTGAGTGGAGATAAATTCACTCTTCGGTTAAACTAGCCTATACCCGGGTCGAGGAGGCACGACCCCGGGGGGTCCATGAGACTCGGCAATATTTTGCGGCAGGACGTCCTCCGGGACTACCCCTGACCCTTTGGGATGATTGGGGATCATTGGTTAGCTGTGGCTAAGAAGAAGGGTTCGCCGAGAGGTTGATCTCCTCTTCGGGGTTTTCTAATCCTCGGAGAAGTCACCTCCTCGGAGAAGCAATATAATGGTGAAAAGGGGAATGTTTCTTATCCATGTGGAATCGAGGAAGTGAAAGCTCTAGTTAAGGAATGGGTGGCTGACGGAGAGCTAAAATTACCT